GGCGGGTGCAGAGTGTGGAAGCCAGCTCCCTTCGGCTCCCAAGAGGCCATCTGAGCACTCCAGGACAGTGAAAGTTGCTTTGAGTGGGGGGGAAAGGTTGGAGGGTGCCAAAACTGGGTGGGGGTAGAGGAGCCCCAGAGCTTCCTGGATCCTGAAGAGGGGGGGCATTGGAGGGGGTGCCCAGGTGGGGGCCACGCCCTCATCCTGAGCTGGGGGAGATTGCTTTACCCACCGAGTCACCCTAGAGGAGAGGCTGAACCTGGAGTAAGGTGTTGGCCGCCCAGCTATGGAAGAGGCTGAATCCAGTGAGCGGAGCCTGCTCTTGGGGGGCAGCGCTCGGTCCCCCGCCACCTCGCCCACAGCCAACCTGTTCCATGGGCGGCGCTTGGCGTGTGCTGCGGTGCTCCTGGCCGAGCTCCTGGAGCGGGTGGCCTTCTACGGCATCACCTCGAACCTGGTGCTCTTCCTCAACGGCATCCCCTACAACTGGGAGGGGGCCCAAGCCAGCCAAGCCCTGCTCCTCTTCATGGGCATCACTTACCTGGTCTCCCCCTTCGGGGGCTGGCTGGCCGACGCCCTGCTGGGCAAGTTCCCCACCATCTTGGTCAGCATGGCGGTCTACCTGCTGGGCATGCTGGCCTTCCCCGCCATGGCCGTCTCGTCCACCCGGCGGTGGCTCTGCGGGGAGCTCCATCCGTGGCCCATTGAGAACTGCTCATCGCCTCTGGAGAGTAACGCCACGTCTGCCCCGTGCCCGTCCCAAGGACCCACGCGGTACTGTCTCGTGGCCTCCTTTGTCGGCTTGGTGCTGGTTGGGCTGAGCGTGGGCTCCGTCAAGGCCAACATCACCCCCTTCGGAGCTGATCAGGTGGAGTAGCCTTCGTTATCTTGTTCTCTTACAAAATCTTGGGTGGGATGGTCAAACGGATGGCCAAGCAGACAGGTTATACAGCTTCATGACTGTCCCATAGTTGGTTTAGGTGGTGGTGGTGGTGGCGGCGCCATTGAACTTCTGCTCTTCTTGGCATTCTCTTGGAGATCTGGTCCCTCCATAGTCCAGCCATAGTCCAGTGGGAAACCAGGTAGTTTTTTAAGGAGGTGGGTTCCACTAGAGGTTGGACCATCCTCAGCTTGAGTGCTTTTATTTGGACTTCTGCACTAATTGGAGCGGGGAAGGGGAGACTCGGTGGTTTCTTCTTCTTCTAGATATCTAGGATCATCCTGCTCATTTCCAGGCAGGGCTGCAGAAGTGTCTGGAAGATGGTGGCTTATAGTAGAGACCAGCCTTCTCCAACCTGATGGGACCCACCAAACTCATAGATTTGGCCGCAGTGGTCAATTTCCAAGCAAGGTTGGGGAAGGTTGGGGTGGACAACGGGTGAGCTAAATGCAGCAATGGCCTAAGATGATAGTTAGCAACTTTTCTGCCTTTCAAATGGTGAGCAGTGATTGTTTTGAACTGTGAGACCACCCTGATCAACTCAGTTTTGTCTCTGGTTTTGTGGGTGTGTTACGTGCAAAGTTGGGCTTGATGGCTAAGATATGGATTTTCTCTTGTTTTTGTTTCTCCTCATATAACCTGTGGCTTTTCTGGGTTTTGAGATTAGCCCCCCACATTTTGTCCCCATGGTGGCTCTTCTATCAACTTCTCCCCCCTTGCCTCTTCACCACCAAACTTCTGTCTGGGTTGAGAGATTCTGTGAGTTTGTTTGAAAGGCTCCTCATATTGAGAAGATACATTTGGAAGGGAAGGGCTAAGAAAGAAGATTCAAAAATTAGGTTCAATGAATGAGATAAATATGCCATCTTTGAAATGTGATGTGAATTGATGTCTCAAGAATGCTGGGATCCCTTTGCTCCCCAGATTGCTTGAGATTTGTCAAGTACATTACCTCCAGAAACTAATGATCTTGGCCAGTCTTTTGTTTGCTTTAGAAGAAAACACACAAAATCTGAGATAAAGAAATACTAGGTATGTTCTTCTCAATCCTTCTGTCCTTCAAAGGTGTTTCTTCTATCTTGCTTTGAGTTGGACCAGTGTTTCTCAACCTTGGCAACTTGAAGATGTGTGGACTTCAACTCCCAGCCATGTTTACATCATTACGATTGGCTTGTTTCAACTGTCAGACCTACAAGCCTGAAATGGCTGTGGCTTGGGATAATGGGAGTTGTCGTCAAAGTCATTTGGATAGCACCAGATGGGAAAAAGTAGAGACAGCCTGAAAAATATGTGCTGGGAAAGGTAGAAAGAAAGAAAAGAAGAGGATGAGCAGTAGCGTGGCAGATGGACTCAGTTACAGTGATGTTGGGGGCACCATTGGAAGATTTGCTTGGGGACAGATCCTTCTGGAGAAGATCTACCTATATGGTCACAGAGAGTGAACACCAACTTCATGGCACCCGGTCAATAGCATATGAAATCAAATACCTATTTCCTATCCATCAACTTCCTCTGTTGGCCTGAGACGTAAACCAAAGTTTGTCAAGACACAACATCACTGTTTTTTTTTTTTTAATCTAAACAAACGCAGTGCTATTTTCATTTTCCTGATGTTGCTTTAATTGCGTCCACGAGACACGCTTACACTCTGTTCCAGGTATGCCAACTTAAGCAACGTAGTGATTTCATCCTGACATGCTGAAAAGAAGGATTTTTTATTTGTTCTCCCAGCTGTTTTCAAGTTCCTCTTTTAAGCGTCATTGCAACCGGTTTGTTTCCTGTTCCCCTCTTTGACACATTTTGATTTTAAAAACTAATAATGGCTTCTTGCAGTTCTGAATTCGGCTGTCATAGCTGCAAGGAAACGAAACCAACCTGAAACATAGAACTGGCAAAAGACAAGAAGCAAAATAGCCTTTTATATCTCACTGTGGGTGTGGAAGGTTCTTGATTCATTATGGTCAAGGGAATCCTTGTATATTTGCTTAGCACATTTATAGCTTACATTTTCTCCAGGAGCTCAAGCCAGGAATTATGTCCTCTAATTTGGCCCCACAACAACCTCCCTGCGTAGTTGGTTGAACGGGAAGAGAATTACTGGCCCAAAGTCACTGGATACATGTGGTGGGATCAGAAGGCCCATATGTTTGTACAGTGGGCTGCTCTTGGCTAACCCTGGTTAGTTCTTGTAGTTTGGCATTTTGGCTGATTTCTTGTTCAGGGCATTGTGTGAATCCAGATAATAAATTAATTCAGGAACAAGGGGAAGTGTGTTTTTTAAACACTGCCAAACATCATCCAGGGTTGTGGTGGACTTGGGTTTCCCCAGTCTTAGTCCAGGATCCTAACCCCTACACCACATTCACATGTTGGAACTTTCTTTAGCATGTGGTGCTCTTTGGATGTGATACAGAATCACAGAAAATGAAGTCAAAAGGGATCACTGAGGCCATCCAGACCAATCTCTTACTCAGGGCAGGAATCCAAATTAAAACATACTTGGTGTCTGGTCTCTACTTGAACATATCCAGCAAAGGGGGCCCACCGTTTCTCTTGGCATTGGTTCTACTGCTTTATTGTTAGGACATTTTCTTTAATATTCAATCAGGATCTGATTTCCTATACTGTAACTTAACACCTTTCTCCCATGACCTGTGTTTTGGTACAAAGAACAGGGGTTGATTTTCTTCTGTGTGACATTTTCTAGGGCACTGAAGGATATCATCATACCCTTTCCTTCTCAGTCTTCTGTTCTTCAGGTGAAACACTCCAGTGTCCTTCAAGGTCTCTCCATAGGACTTGATGTGTGATTCCATAATCCTCCTCATGACTTTTTTCTGAATCTGTTCCATTTTGTCTGAGTTCTTAAAGCATCGTGCCCTGAATGGACCACAATATTCCAAGTGGAGCCGGACCAACGCAAAAGAATGGGACGCTTCGTTCCTGCCGGATTAACTTTTGACCAACATCTTTTGCTAACTCAAGATGGTGGTAAAGAGTTTGACATAGCAAGAGGCACCACGTTGGAGAAGACTTTGCTAGATCTTCTTTCTGACCTGATTTTCCAGGAACGATTTATATACAGAGAGTCCAGAGGGCTGATATGCTACACAAAACTAAATGCCATTCCCCCAAAGTTGCACATCCCTAATCTTGGGGAGCTATGAAAGGGAAAGATGGCTACATATACCCAAACCACACAGGATTCCTCTTCTTTGAAGGGCTTTAAGCAAACTCGAAGAAAGAGTGCTAGAAACGATACCAGCGGTGCCATGCTTGGTCTTCGTCCAGCTGTGTTGGCACAGATTCCAAGACAGAAACTGGACCTTTTAATTAGGTCAAGAACAAGCCCGGTTAGTTAAGGAGCTTGGCTTCCTCCAGATGCTTTGTTCAGGCAGGGATGGTATAATTGAACGAAAGCACAGCAAAAGTCCCTGGATGAGTCAGCTGCTGCAGGAAGAGAGTTCTGAAATTTTCTTTTCTTTCCTTTTTTTTTGAGATGGTGCTTTTCATTCACAGCTGTGTCAGAGAACCCCAGTGAGTCATGAAAAATGGGCCGAGGGCGTGTCTGTGCAGATGGATATATTCCTGTAACGAAGTTTGGGTGGAAATGGCTCTTCTTCCCAATCGGAGATGCCCTGAGAAACTGTTACCTATTTCTTTCGCAGACTGAACAGATGGAATTCTATTTTGCATTTCTCAGTTTCTTTTTATAGAGGCGGCTTCGGGCACCTGCTCTTTCGAAGCTTCCTGAAATATCTCTCGTCTCCTCCCCATGATAGTAAAACGATGCCTGATCTGTAAAATGTTCCCACTGCAGGTGGAATCCCCTGTGACTGAAATGCTCCTTCAAGAGAGAGCGAATGCATCTGCGTAAAAAGAGGACACTTCAAAAAAAAAAAATCTTCTCGTCTGGTTTTCTCCTCCCTGACATGCTGGATTGCTGTTTGCAAGGCGTTTGCTCTTGCGTGCTGAACTGTTCCATCAAAAAGAACGGGGTGCATCGTAATATCATTTTACTTGCTTACTGGTTACAGTGTTTTCCCCAGTATGATTTTTCTTGCACTCACGTTGTCTCTGCACCATACCCACCCTCCTTTGGAAGAAGGGACAAAACCCCCTACTTTTGAATCTTTGCAAGGAGCCACCTATGCTAATCATAAAACAAAAAGAATTCTGTCATAATTCAGGTTCATTCTCTTGCAAAGGGGCGGAACAGCCTGAAAGTTAGGGAACGAATTTTTAAAAAACCGAGCACACGCCCTGCAGTTGAGAATCGAATGTACCGATTGATCCGGGGCGAACTGAACCTAGGAACTCCTCCTTGGATGGTGAAGCACAAATCTGAGAAATGTGGCATCGGGTGCAATTCCATTCTCAGGACATTTTAACCTCTTTGGGGGAAAAAATGCACACACGTTTTCAGACCAAAAGCTTGGCTTAGTGGAAAATGCGGGGTACCATCTGTGAAAAGCAAGCGGGACCCCAACTGAAAGTTACAGTCAGCGTGCTACCACTTAAGTTTACACCTTTTAATACAATATACGCTGAATTCAAGTTGAATTTAGTCCATGCAGTTGATCTGATTACTTCCCACGTTCTTAAATCTTTCTCCTCCCTGGGCATATAAAAAGCAGAAAGAGGGGGTAATTGGGGAAGGGGGGGATCCCTGATGGCTGTCCTGAAGATTTTTGGGGGGGGGGGGAGAAGACAGGCAGGCTTTCATTCCCTTGCCCAGGTGATCTTGGATCCTTTGCCGCGTTTTTCGTCTCAGCTAAGTACTTTTTAAACGGCTTGGACCCAGATGAGGCAGTTCCTATGCTCCGACCTGCAGCCTCTGTCTTATTCGCTTCCTCTCCTCTCTTCTGTAGCTCCAAAGAGTTTGCAGGGAGCCCGTTTTAAAGGCAGAACGGTGTGGTTAATAAGGGTGCTTGGACAGTCGATAACTTCTTAGGTGCGATTTTAACAGGGGGGGGGTGAATTCTCTTCTAGGTGAAGGACCAAGGTCCAGAAGCCACCCGGCGTTTCTTTAACTGGTTTTACTGGAGCATTAATTTGGGAGCCATCCTCTCCCTCGGAGGCATCGCCTACATCCAACAGAACGTCGATTTCGCCATCGGCTACATCATCCCGACGGTTTGCATCGGCGTCTCCTTCGTGGTCTTCCTGTGTAGCCAGAGTGTGTTCATCACCAAGCCGCCTGATGGCAGCGCCTTCACCGACATGTTCAGGATCCTGGCTTATTCTTGCTGCAGCCGAAAACAGCCGGCGCAGCTTTCCAGCTACAGGTGGGTCAAGGGAGCTCTTTCCCCCAGGAGGCTGGGCCGAGGCAGGGTAAAGCAGGAGTTTGCGGGCAGAAAGTATGAGATGCTTAGTATCTGCGGTAGGGCTCTGTTAAACCAACTTTCTCGGGTCTTGAAAGTCAGCAGCCTCTAATAGGCATTTGCGTGTAGCCTCAAGCAGCGCCTTTATTTTCCTTTTTGTGGTTCTTGAAACCGCACCTTCCAATTTTGATGGACAGTTACTCTATAGTGGCAGGACCCTTCCCTTCCCTTCCCTTCCCTTCCCTTCCCTTCCCTTCCCTTCCCTTCCCTTCCCT